ATGGTTCGATCATAAACCGTTTTATCCGACTAAACTGAAAAATTGATTGGTTTAACTTTTAATATAGTATAGTAATAATGGTATACATTGCAACGATAATTTTTACAATGAAATTCCAATCACGTTTAATTAAAATTTGATAAGAACACCCAAACGAAATTAAATTTTTAATTTTTAATTATTCAAATGTTAATATTACATAAAACTCTAATTTAAGTAGATTATCATTTTTTTGTCGTTCTTCACTTCGCATAACATATGAGATGATCGACAGACGATTCTACCGTTTAGTATGGGTTAAGTACTGTCACTTTGAAATCAAACAAATAAAAAATTATGGTTTGTTACATTTGGTATATAATATATATATTAAAAAAAAACAAAACCAAGAGGTTCAAAATCATTGTGCCACTAAATGCATGTTCGCTTTTTTTTTTTCAATGTGTTATTTTTATTTTAATAGTTTATTGAGAAATAAACACATAAAAATAGAGAAAGCAATACATGCATTATATTATAGAGTATTTACATCTTTTAATGTAAATTAATATTATATTTGCAAAACAAAGAAAAAATTTGTTACTGTTAATATTTTCAAATTTTTGTTGTACCATTTTTCTCCTTGGCTTTGTTATTGTTGATATATATATATATATATATATATATATATATATATAGCTTGGCAAAAATGAAAAGGGAAATTAGGTGGGATACCATTCCCTAGAATCTTATTTAGGCCGATTAAAACCTATTTTTTTAATCGTGAGTAAAGACATCGAACCCCCTCACCAAATTTAAACTACACATGTTCTTTTAAACCACACTAATAAAACTTTTATAGATTCTGACAATTTCTATTTTCAACACCACCATAACTTTTGCTACGAAACATTTAGTTGAGCTCATTATCTTTCTTTTCTAAAAAAATTTTGAATTGATTCTCGTTCTTTCAAAACCTATCCAGAAAATCCTATTTCAAAAAATCTCTCAACTATTGGAAACTCAATTTCATTTTCAGACATCCACATAATTCTCTACTCTCTATTTTTACGGCGAGGTTTTGTCCGTCCATCTTATTGCTCATTTCGTTTTCTACGACGAAGTTCTACCATCTCTCGTTTTCTCCGGTTCATCACTTTCCATAACATTGCTGATTTTTTCGCCTGCCAAGTACTTGTGCCAGGTACCGTTTTGATATCTGGTTTTCTTCTGCTTCTTTCTACTATTTCTGTTATGTTTATTGTTCTCGTTTTTCTTCAGTATTATGGCCTTGTTCGCTATTTTTTCACATCTGGGTTTCTTGATTTTGTAGATCTAGAATTTTCAAATCTTACTTAATGTAGTTAACTATTTACACTGTTTTTACTAATCCTCTACTCGTGATTCCTACCAATTTGTACTCTGTATTTTTCCAGTACAATTGTCTTTTTGTTTGTTATCCACATCTGGTTTACAACGTATTCAGATCTAGGATTTGTAGATCTTACCTTCGATATATAACTATTGTCATCGTCGTTAGTAAATGTCTACGCATTAGTCTACAGAACTACTATACATGAATAATCAACTACTCTTTTGAATAACAATAGTTATTTACGTCACAGTAGTAGTTATTTAGTCAGTAACTAACTATTTGACTGTTTTGTGTTTAAAGGGATATGTATACTCTTCAACAATCCGAACCCACACCGTTTGCAAATAATGTGCTCCCCAGATTCGCGATGCACTCATTGATATTTTTGAAAGAGTTGGTAGGGTATCGGCCAAAGATGCTTGTCCATTTGCTTGTTCATGTAAGTTTTGACAGTTCCATCATCTTCTTCATTATTATCGATATATAGTTCTCTTGATTTTGTAGATCTAGAGTAGTTAACTATTTTTATATGCATACTGAGTAAGTAGTAACAACATTGAATATGGTCATTAGTAATCGTCTACTCTTATCATCTATAACAGATACAATAAATAACTACTTCATATTCAGTTAGTCTACATAACTACTATGCACATATAACCAACTACTAGTATAACTATCGGTAGTTAACTACGTTACGATAGTAATCAGTTTACAATAGTTAACTTTTTGCCATTTTTCCTTTGCAGGGATATGTGTTCTCTTCGATGTGAACCCACACCGTTCGCAAATAATGTGCTTCTCCAGATTCACGATGCACTCATTGATGTCTTTGTAAAGGTTGCTAGAGAATCTGCAGAAGATGCTTGTTCATTTGTTTGTTTATGTAAGGTTTTAAACCAAACATTCGAGGAACCATCTCTCTTCAAGGCGCTCAACCTATCTGTCTTCATTAAACAGCTCAAATTAATAAAGTGCTACCCTGAATTCTTTGAGTCAGCGAAAATGGATAACTACCAATAATCGACTTTGAGTAGTAGCTATCTAATCGAAGTAGACAATTATTAATACTTACTTAAGTATTAGAATCAACTTTCAGTTTTATGGAGAAAATATACAACTACTAATAATCGAATTGGAGTACTAGCTATCTAATCGAAATATGCTACAAAGTAGTCACCATCTCTGTGTCATTCAAACGAAGTTTTATTTTAAACATAGTCACCTACTAGTAGTCTTCTACTAGAAATATATGAACACAACAAACATAAGAATTATAATTTAAAGGGACGTCTATACTGAAGTAATAGAAGACTAATTGGTATATGTATGTTTACTTTTAATTTGGTGCAATTATAGAAAGTATTGTCCATAATATATCACACTTTCAGAGTGAGAGAATGTTTGTCTGAGGGGGATGCAACTTTTTATGAAAATAGTTGTCTACTACATATCCACATACTCTGAGCTAATGATGTTCTATGAAAATAGTCAACTATGGCTATGAAGTTACCATTGTGACACCCCCTAAGACACCTGCTGCAAAGTTTTGTCGCATTCCACAAATTTCTCTGTGTCATTCAAATGAATTGGATCAACCACATTTCAACCACAAAGTAGGCAACTATGACTCATTATATTAAAGTTGACTATGTTACAAACACTAAATAGTTGACTACGTTACCTTCATTTCTCCTCGGGATGGGATCTTTATTTTCTTTGGTCGACCATCTGGTCAACGCATTACTGGAGGAAGTAGTTCTGAGACACCATAACATACATGAGTTGGTACTAGGTGGAATGGTTTTTCATAAAAGGATCTCCAAAAACTAGTTGTGTATACTTCTCTCATAAGTTTCTCGTTTGCAATATTGCTATAAGAAGAAGTTGCCGATAACTTGTTATGTACACCTCTGTCCTATTCTGTTGTAAACTTCATATTCATCGTGGCCGACAACAACCACCTATATTTTAAACATAGTCACTTATTAGTAGTCGTCTACTATAAATATATGAATACAACAAAGAAAAGAATTAGAATTGAAAAGAATGGCTATACTGAAGTGATAGGTGACTACTTAGTATATGTCTATTTACTTTCAACTTGGTGCAATCAGAGAAAATATCGTCCATTATGTCTCATAATTTTAGAATGAGAAGATGTTCATTTGAGGCGGATGCAACTTCTTTATGAAAATAGTCGTCTACTACATAACCGCATACTCTGAAAAAATATTTTTTATGAAAATAGTTAATTATTTCATAGAGTTATCTCAGATTTTAAATGATTTGAGCAAAAGGACACCGTATATAATTTCTTAAGAAAATACGAACTATAACGCTAAAAATCAGAAACTTTAAATGTTTGGTTCATGGATGTTGTGTTAATGGTTGTTTATCTAATCCACTAGAGTCCTCTCGAAATTAATCTAGTCGTTCACGTAGTACTAGACGACAACAACATTTAAACCTTACTAAAGTAACAATAAAATTTACGTTGTTATTGTTCTAAAAAATAGATAACATTTGCGTCTTGGTGAGTTGGTATGGTCCCAACCTTGGTTAGAAAAAGCAATGTCTAGATTTAGAGAATAAGGAGTGTAATGTCATTTTCACATACTTTTGCTGTTGACTTCTGTTACGCACTTAATTAACTAATTTTCTATAGTATTCACTTAATTTGTTCTTTCAAAATAATATTAATACAAATCACCCATTATTCACACTCGTATATTTTTGTAAATGTGTGACATCGTAAAGGGACAAAAACACAGCATTGGCTGATGTATGTATCTCTCTTCTTTCTTTACTTTTATGTCCGCTTTCTATCTTAAGGTTGTTTGTAGTTTAATAATTTTATAGAATAGAATCGTCGACCAAAAAAAACCTTGTATAAAATATATTTTTATTATTTTTCATTTTTAATATTTTTTTCTTCCGTTGCTAAAACTAGTTATAGATCGAAGAATGAAAAAGGACAGAAAAAGGAATGATGTTTTCTAAAGCACATGATATCAAATTCAAATTAACGTCCAAAAAAAAAACTTATCAAAATCAAGCCTACATATTAAGCTATCAATAAATAAATAAATAAAACCTCCATCAAAAGAACAAAGAGTTCTGAATTTTATAAAGAACCCCATTACACATATCATCGTATTATTGACATTTTCTAAGACCAATATACTCTTTTTAATTTTAACAACTTGTTAGCTAGACTTTCTGTTTTTCTACAACTTAATTTATGTTCGTTATGTTGTTGCCAACAAAAAACAATAATAAAAAAAAAACTAAACAAACAACAATCAAATTATGTTTGTTTTGTAGTTGTCTATATATTAGTAAATTTTAAGGATATATCACTAATTCAAACCTAAAACTTTATCATAAGTTTTAGTATTTGAAAATTCTATTTGCGCATATATTTTTGTTTATTAGTAAAATACTTGTGAAACCGCATTTAAAAATACAATTCTGTTATTTCTCTAGTTTATTCAACAACGGTAAAACCAACAACTTATAATTTGCCTGTTGTTGCTAGTCGCTAACAACAATTTAAGGTGTCGGTGATCGATGAAGCCAACAACATCGAAGCAAACGACGGGCTTAATAGGAATAACAAATTAAAACCACAAAATACGCTTAATTAGGTTTATAATATGTCTACACAGTAACTTCTATGGATTAATTATTTCAGACCAATATCGTTTCTTCTTTGGTCAGAAATCAAAAACATTATTTATACATCGACTACCTAAAACAATTGAGGTTCAAAGTACGTAATACTTTAAAAAAAAAAAGAAACAGGAATTAAAAAGAAAACAAAACCACATTTATATATAAACATTATAAAACAAAATCTCTCGCCTCATCAGAAGAACCATAGATCTTGATTAGCTTTTGCAACACCAAGACTTGATTTCTAAGCCGGACGATGTAATCCGCGGTTTCTTGAAACAGCTGTTCCGTCTCTCCACCGTCGAGGGATTCCTCCTCCACGTGAACATTCTGCTCTGTTGTCTTCTCCGTCGTCGTTGACGGAGGAAGAAGACTCTTAAGCGCCTGAAGTTTCTCGGAGAACTTTTCTCCTCCGTTTCCACAGCAGTTGCGGAGAATCCTGCCACGTGATGAAACATATGTTCTTCTGTTTCCTAACTTCTTGCTGTTTCTTCTTCCTCCTCCTCTGGATCTTTGAGTCTTTAGGATTCTCATCGTGAAGAAGAACAAGAGAACTGTAGAGTTTTTTTTTTTTTTTTGAATAGAAGAAGAGAGAGGGTCGGCGTTTATGTACGATTGACTAAGTGTTTATGACCCTAGAGTTGATAGTTTATTACGCCAGTGCCACTGGTGGTGCTTTCATTCCTTCGTTTGTCATTTTGTGCTTTTTTTTTGGTTGGGCCCTTAATGTTTTTAAGAAAAATGAAATCTCAATAATATCTTACTATCACGTGCTCGTTGCCAAATATCTTAGCAGCATAATATAAGTTCCATATACCAAAAATCGATTTATTGAAAATTTTGGGAGAATGAAATTAGTGACCAATAAATTATCTTGGTATAAGCAGAATATTTTTAAAAACTATAACTATGTAAACATATTCGTTTGTTAAAGATCGAATTACTGAAACTGTTAGGAGCATAATATGAGTTCCATATACCAAAAAATCGATTTATTAATACTGTTGTTTTCTTGGGTTGCTCATAAGTTTTTGAAGAGTCGAAAACATTAGGATAGAAATTATCGGAATGTTGGAGTTGTACGAATACCGACAACACTGACATGTGAAGAGAAGGGTAAATCTGTAGTTTACAATATGTGAGTAACCGGTTAAGTAGCAAAGAGAGGAAGTGGATGAAGAGTGCGCATTTGCCATATGACAGTAAAAGCCTGAGCCTTCTGTGACGGCACATGATGAGTGTTTGTGCAAATAATATTTTTCTTATTTTCCTATATTACCCCTCCATAGTTATCCATAATTCATTTTATTTACATATTTAAATTAGAGGATACTTATTTTTTTTTTTGAATAATCAGATGTTTTCAGATAGTTTCATTTGACCAAATAAATGTTTTCGTTTGATTTCTTTGTTGGACCCCTTTTTGTTTTGTCAAGGTTGGACCTCTTCTTCTTTATGAACTTTGTTCTACTCTTTTAAATTTTACATGGGTGGTGTAATAAACTCATGTCTTTTTCATTATATTCAATGATAAAATATCTAACGAGAATGCTCCCAAATGATATTTTGAGTTTGATTTTTTTTTTATTCTTGATATATATATATATATATATTTGTTTTTCTTCATATTTATTGTATAAAATTATGAGTTAATTAAAAAACAGTAATACAAAAAAATAATTTCAAATGGAAAAGCAATCAGTGAAAATAAAGATACTTAGATACATAGTAATTGACAGTTAATAAAAAACCAAACAAGTTTTCCAGAAAAAAAAAAACTGAATTTGTTAAACAAAATAAGGAAAACTTTTTATCATCATTTTCAAGAAAAATGAAAAAAATCCTCTATTGTTCTCATCTTATTCTTATAATCAAGATTATTATTCTTAAAATTCAGTAACTTCTACATATAATTTTTTCCGGTCGTCCTCGACATTATGAAATGGACTTTTTGATCAGTAAAAAAGAGAAATAATAAGCGTATTAAAATACGTTTTTTAGAGGCGTTACATGTTGATGTGTTATGAGCCAGCAAAACTTCATTGGAAAAACAAGAACAAATTTGAAATCGAAGAAAAGACTAAAAAATTAATTTGAAATATGAGAACCGGGAAAGTGAACCGGAAACCGGTTGATCAAAGGGAGAGAGAAAATGGCATGTGAAGGCACATGGGAGAAGAGAAAGGCAAGGAGACAGAGAAGGAAGCATGGAAGTGAACAGAGAGCATGTTCTGTATATTCCCTGCATGCACATAACTTCATGTTTCTTTTCTATAATGCTGAAAAATAAGATTATATAATGAACTTGGTTTTAAAGATTTGATTACTTTACGAACCAAAAGGGAGGGTGGTTTTTCTGTTTATAATCTCGATTTGGTGCACATGGTTTACTATCTAGAAACCAGGTTATAGCATGTGTTTAGCTGTTTCCACGTGACTGTTTTGTGTAATTGCGTACATTGATTAACAGTTATCAACTTTTTATTTTGCTAAACAAAAATTTATTGAATTAGCACCGGGTATCTTAATTTCGCAAAATGTTTGTCTCGAAAATAAGCATGTCTTTTGGCAAAAGAAATCGTGTAATTATAAGTTCACCACGGTTAAAGCACCAAATTGTAAGTAGTCCAATAATAGGATTTGGACATGGTGCAGTCGAATCCGAGGCTGTAGTAAGTTTAGGTCTTTGGTCCAATACCATAATGCCACCACCATAGGAAAACTGATTCCAGTCGGATGGATTTCGGATAGATATAAAATCATCAAGTCTTTAATTTTGTTTAAATTTTTCATTTTTGATGGAATACTTATTGTTTAAAAGGATAAATCTATACTTTGTAGTGATTTTTGCAAATCTACCGTAAATTAAAAATCTTGAATAAAGTTCTAATGACTAAGTGACCCAATCATAAACTATTGAGTTTAAGGCATTGGTCCAATCTACCATGCCATCAGGCGCCGGTTAAATTTTTATTTTTTAAAATCTAATGTTCAATTATATTTGAAAGAAAAAAATAATCGTTTTACAATTTTTTGAGAGTTTTTGAAAATTCTTTTTATAACAAAAAAAAAAAAATACTACATCAAACTCATCATGAGAACCATGTTCTTAAGCCATCCTCATATCTCATGTTTCCTGAATCTCGGATCGAGCAAAGTTGGTTTCACACATTCTTGTCCATCATCTTCGCAATACGGTACATTGTGTAAGGCTTCTCATCATGCCTTCGTTTATTCCGTGCTCTTCAAATAGAACGGATCGACATTTGAAATGCATATATAAGGAGGAAAGCTGACGTCCGGTTACCTGGTGGTTTGAGGATCAGCTCCACCACTTCCTACCAAACGCAGGTAAACCTGGTTGTCAATAAGGAGTACGCATTTTTTTAAATATTAGTTTTCTTGTCACATAATACATGTAGGTTATTTAGTTGATCATTTAATAACAAAAAAAAAGTTATTGCTCAACGTGCTCATACATGTTTTACATCTGTATTTGGATTAGTGTCGACATACTGAACTTTATTAGCTAGATTTCTTTTAAAAATAAATCTTCAACCATAATTTCTCAACACTTAACATCCCTAGTATTATATGCATACATGCGTTAATAAGGAGGAAAGAAAACAAAAGTTTTTGGCTTTTGTTTTGTCGGAAACATTGGTTGACTAAACCAGCTGCATGAAGTAGAAGCTTCCGGTTAGGAGCTTGAATCAAACCAAATGCGGAAATCAGGAGATTGGTTTCGGTACAACGCTGTTATCATAATTGTGCTTAACGTCGTCGTTTTATATCATCTTTTAGATGATGGAGCTTTTACAGATATGACCGTTAGCGAGTGGAGTCAACGCACACGAGGTTGTTACGGTTGTTATCGAGCTGGTATTGGGTTGTTTTAATACTAGTCATCGAGTCTGTAGAAGCTTAATCGGTTCAATTATATCTTAGAGAGAAGTGAGATCTTTTGTATCGGTGAGAGAGAAAATAGAGAAAGCTTTCCGGTGAGTGAGAGTGTTTCGGGGTTTTCCGGTGAGAGTGACGGAGGTTGTACACGACGACACCTTAGTGAATTCCGAGGAATCCTTGGCCAGACGTAGGGAAGCGGTTTGCTCCCGTACTGGATAAATCTCTTGTCCCTTTTTTTTAGTTTTCTGCATCTCGTTTCGTATATCGATCTTTCACAAGTGTTCGATCAAATTCGTTCTCTCAAAGCGAGAGAGTTCTTGGTGAGATTGAAGGAGTATTTTCGCAACAAGTGGTATCAGAGCGTAGGTCGGGAGGATTGGGAAGATCTAAGCTCGAATCAGTCTCGCCAAGAGGTATTGGACAAATCCATCAAGATGACTTCCGCAAAGATCGAGTTGGAAAAGTTCAATGGCACGATCGATTATAACATGTGGAGAGAAAGACTGTTTGCGAATCTAGACCTGCTCGGTCTGATGCAAGCATATAAGGCTCAAGAGGCAGAAGAAGAAGCTAAGAAGGATGGATCGGCTAAGGAGGAGGATCCGAAAGGAAAAGGTCTCGATGCCTCAGAAAAGGCATCAGATCCATCCATTGCTGAAAATCAAAGAAAGGTACGTAGCACCATAGTCATGAGTGTTACTGACAAGATAGTGAGAAAGATTGTTAAGGAGAAAACTGCGGTTGGTATGTTGAAGATCTTGGTAACTCAGTATATGTCTCAGTCGTTACCTAATAGGATGTATTTGAAGCAACACCTATATAGTTTCAGAATGAATGAGTCTACGTCTATAGAGAACAACATAGATGAGTTCTTGAGGATAATCACAGATTTGGGGATTGTTATGGTTGAGATACCAGATGAGGATCAGGCTATATTACTGCTCATGTCTCTACCAAAACAATTTGAGCAGCTGCGTGATACTTTGAGGTATTCTAAAACTGAGATGACTCTAGATGGTGTTATCGGGTTTATCCACGCAAAGCAACTTGAGTTGTCTGTTAATGGGAAGAATAACAAGGCTCAGGGTGAAGTGTTGTACTCGAATCATAATAAAGGAAAGGCGAGCAAAGATTCAAACTCTGGTAAACCACAAATTAAGTCCAAGAAGGGTAAAGGTAAGACTGGAGTCTATACTTGCTGGATTTGTGGTGGAGAAGGCCACTTCAAGAAAGATTGCCCTAAGAAGACAAGTCGTCAGGGTAAAGATAAAGTTCAGATGACAGGGGAATCATCAGCTGTCACTGGTGTTTAGTTCATTGAGTCACTAATGGTGTCTGAAGTAAATGTAGCTGAGGGACATGACTTTAATGAAACTTGGATTATGGATACCGGATGCACATTCCATATGACACCTAGGAGGGAATGGTTCATAGAACTTGAGGAGTTCATAGCCGGGTCCGTAAGGATGGCTAACGAGACAACTTCCACAGTAAGGGGAATTAGGACTATACAGCTCAAAACCGCACATGACAGTTATGTTCTGGTCAAGGGAGTAAGGTATGTTCTGGATTTCTCAAGAAACCTTTTGTCTTTGGGATCCTTTGAGGAACAAAGCTGCACTTTTGAGTCGAAAAATGGTCTGCTTCAAGTTATAAAGAATGGTAAGTTGATATTGACTGCTAAATGAGTCCATAAGCTGTACATTCTCCAAGGAACGAGTCACGGTGGAGAAGTTCACTCGGTGAATGGTAAAGATGAAACGAACCTCTGGCATAGTAAGTTGGGTCACG